GCTTGAACGATATCCGGGAATTTCTCTTCCCACTCCCCATAAATCAAGAAACGATCCAGCCTTGAAAAAGTGACTGGGTCCTGCCATTTGACCATGTATGGACTGCACCTTCCATTGGTAGAGAAATGAGAAGATGCTCGTCAATGAAGTCAGAAAATTGATCCATTTCAGAAGACCTCCTTCTTCCTGTGGACCTCTCTAATGGGAATCTAACAGAATTGAAATCCCCACCCAACACCAAGGAAGAGTCCACATTTCTTGAGCGTAGTTTAGCTCCTTCCAGAAAAAAGGCTGATCAATATCAACAACCGGTCAATAGACCATAGTGAAAACCCATCTGAAATTGTCCTCTTCCAACTTGAACTTGCAAGACACAGAGAATCTCCCCACCCACACATCCATCCTAGACAACCATCTACAATCCCACATAACTAAGATTCCGCCCGAAGTACCTGTAGCATTCAAGTCCTCCCATTCCACAAACCTTCCTCCCCATAAAGTCCTGGCCACCCCATCAGAAATGGATGCCAACTTGGTTTCTTGCAAATAAACAACCTGAGCCCCTTACTTCCTTAGAGCTACCTTTACCACTCTCCTTTTATTCGGGTCGTTGAGACCACGAACATTCCAAGTAATAATTCGTAGCTTCATTAATAACCAGATAAGATGCGTAGCTTCATTAATAACCAGATAAGATGATCTGCCCTCCTCCCTTCCTCAAACTCCTGCTCCTAGTCCTTCCCCTCTCCCTTACCACCCCTTTCTTCCCTTCATAATTGACTTCAGAGATAATATTCTTGACCTCCTGTGCCTCTTTCCAGGATGATATAGGCCTCGTGTTCACAATCTCTTCAGTCACAGCAACCCCTCTTGCTTCCACTATTGCTTGAAGAATGGATAGTGTCAGGTCACTATTCCCCTCCGATGAAACACCCAACAACTCACTTGTAGCTCTTATATTTTCGACCACCTAGTCCTTTCCCAAATCAACATCTGTTCCTGAACAACCAGGTCTCACAACTGCCAATGGTTCCTCCTCAATCACTTCAGAATAATCATTCTCCAGCCAAGGGACAAACTCATTGGAGCAAACCTGTTGGATGTAAACTAGATTAGTAGCCACCTCCTCTTCATTATCTTGTCCTAATTCAAATGACTCTGTCAATGAATCAGAATTAGTAGTGTAGTTCCTATTCCACTACTAACGAATTTGACCAACTCATTCTCCTCAGCCCCTACAGATGGCAAGCAGTTAAGGCCTTTCAAGGCTACATAAAGGCGGAGTTCTTTGAGTAGAGCCATAGCTGACTCATTTGACAGCTAAAAGTGAAGATCTCTCCCCACACAAACCATAACCCTGTCATCATGCGGGTTAACTTGCACTGAAGTGACATACCTGCTGGCATCCTTCCTATCCGTAACCAAACCATGCTCAACTGCAGGTGCCGAAGGCACAACTGACAACACACTGCTCTTCTCCATTGTCGTCTCAACATCGCCTCTCACCGCTCCACAAGAAGGAGAGGAAGAGGAGGGGCTGTAAGAGAACTCTGGGAATGAATAACAGAGGACATACCTGGGTCATTAGTAGAGGTTCATTTCTGTTTATCTTTTCTCGACCATCTATAAACATGGCTATGTCTGTGAGAGTCCCGAGATGAGAGTCTAGAGCTTCTTCCCTTTGTCCGAGCAGTGACTAGTAGGGACTTGTTTGAAACATCAGCACAGCACTGTAGATAACGAAAGACCTTCTCGTCTATGCCCACACCAGCCTCGTCGGCACTAAGTTTCATCCATCTCCTCTTCTCCGGCGAAGTCCAGATTTTTGCAGAAATAGCGTGATAAGGACGACCCTGTGAATGATCGATGATGGATATAGTAGCTGGGTTGGGCTTTGTATTAAGAAAAGAAACAGAAATCTGATTTTTGGGCCCCAATAAACCTTTCTTTTTAAGTCTTCTAGTGGCCCATTTCGTAACTTATCATTATCTCGGCTGGGCTTGGGCAACTGTGGGCTGGGCTTGTCATTTAGGAATGAAATGGATAACTGATTGTTGGACCCCCATATGACATTCCTTTTAGTATCCTTTGTGACTTGTGGGCCATGACATAGCCCACTATTCAGCCCAGAAGATAAATCATGCCCAAACTTAAGCCCATATGAATCCGTTGCATGAAAGGCTCTTGTGGAGCCATGTAGCCGTCCAGGTGGTTGGTTACCATCAAAGCAATCAAAACAAGGATTTGAATGGCGTTGATGAGGGGCGTTATGCGCACGTCTCAGAAGTCTACTTTCCCCACTCGCAACCGACGCGTTGACGGACGCTCGTCTCTTTCCTTGGGTACCCAGATGAGTCTGCAAATGCCGGCGACGTCCACCGTTGAGCTCTCCATCAGACGTAAGGTGGGAAACCTCACCAACCCCATAATAGGACTTCGGAAGGATGCAAGGTGAGGTTTCCTCTATCAAATTGATCTTAAAGGCCACTCGTTGGTCTTCTACAAATACATACTCCGGCACCACAGCTCCGGCAGAGACATAGAGGAGAACTCTCTCCCCACTCGCTTGATCATCCGCTTCCACACCTTTGAACCCACCGCATAGGTCTCCAATGGCTTCGAACAACTTGTGGCACCAGAGATGAAGGGGCAACCCAAACAACAACACCCTTCGTATCCTATCTCGATCTACCACGGCTGAGCAGCCGCTGCAAAGTACCACTTGTCGATGTATAAGAAAGCTTCTCCCCATCTCTTCCTCCCTACATCCAAGACCCTACGTGCTTTGGCCTCCGATGGTAGCCGGAACAAGAAAAGGCCGTCAGGTAGGGTTGATACCTTCACTCCACACGAAATCTTCCAAGACTTCGTCGCCCACTCCTTAATCCCTTTAGTACACCCCACATCACGATCAAAACGGCCAACCAAACAAGCTTTCAAGACGGATTTATGTTCTGTAATACTCTGGTGATCAACCCTAAAAACCACATCTCTGTCAATTGAACAACTTTTGATCTTCCCATGGAAATTAAGACATGGTAGGGTCGCCACTTTGAGATACGAACGTTGCATGACACTGATCTCTGCCAAAACCAGAATTCTAGCGCCAGAAAAAGAAAAAAGAAAACAATGGACGCCGGAGTAGAAGACCCCCTAGCGTCAAAGAAGAAAGGAAAAGTCGAGAGAAAAGTCAACCATCAGTCAAAGCTTGGAAGAAAAACCTTTTGAGTCGTCTCCAACTTTTTATCTATGAAATATTTGTTTAATAGAAGAATAGAATGTATTGAATATTTAAATTTTTGATAATATATATGTGTGCGCGTGTGTTAAATATATGAATATATCAATGAATACATGAATTTATCAACTCCAAGATCATTGTAGAATATATTTGCATTTAGTAACAAAACTTGAAGTTCAAAGAATGAAATATCGGTAAAATGGAGAAATCGGCTAGCTTCCAAATTTGATTCTTTTAGAAGAGATTGAGTTGTTCTGGCCACAAGAGTTGCCAGTTGCCAGTTGCCAGTTGCCACTCTGTGTACATATTCGATGTGTCGTATTAATGAAGATGCTAATATTGACAAAAGGTTGAGGAATACAGGATGATGGTTGAGATTTAGATGCTAAGAACCACCAGTGTCTTTCCTCGTTTATGTCAAAATCTGGTGCAGAACGTGTTCGAATGTAAGGATGATAATTTTTATACTTACCCTTTCTAAGCGTCAAGATGTTGGAACATTCAATGAAAAGAAAAGTTAAAGCCCGAGAACTCATCTTATATGTTTTACGTTTTTTTTTTTTAAAGCTAGAGTACCCATCTTATTTGTTTTAGGGTTATTTAAAGCTTGAGAACTCATCTTATATGTTCTACGGTTTTTTTAAAGCTTGAGTACCCATCTTAATTTTTTTAGGGTTATTTAAAGCTTGAGTACCAATCTTATAAATTCCAGTTTCTATGAAAGAAAATGAAAAAATAATTTTAGAAAAGAACTCAATTTTTGGACAAAAAATGTAATAAAAAAAAATTAGTTCTAATTTAAGAATGGTAAAATTGGAATATTGAGAGGTTTAAAACTTCCGTGGAAAAAGGTTTCAAAAGTAGGACTTAATGGTCTTATTGAAACTTCATAGAATTATTTGCATTTACGATGGAAAAGTAGGTTTTTATTACTAATTTTTTGTAGATATTATTGGGTTCGTATCCGGCACATGTCTAACATTGAGAGATGACGTTTCTAGTGTAAAGTTTAATTGTTTGAGAGGAAACAAGAGGGAGTGATTTACATATCTAAAATTTTATTAAAGAATAAATGAAATGAAATGTAATAGGCTTAAATTAAATCATGTTGAACTCGGTTCTAGGTCCACGTGTCTCCCTTTTAGAGGGAATTTTGCGTAATTTCTTGTGTTTATTCTCCTCGTCTTCTCTAGGAGGCGGCTTTGGATGTGAACTGTCTCATTGTGGAGGCATATGTGCTGGTTAAGTGTTGGTTGGTGAAATGGAAAATTAGGCAAATATTGGGATATGTCACATTCCATGCATGTTTGTCTATTTCAAATTTTGGGATTTATAAAGGTAATGCTTTAAAGGATTGAGAATCCTAATTGCCGAGTCACCTTCGATTAATGTTCTGGGAAGGGGTCACAAGGCAATTTATTGGTACAAAATGGGGTGTCTTCACAATTATGTTACTTTGTTTCTTACTTTCTTGCTGTTAATCGATATGCTTGTCTACTTTTGCTTCTTTTATTCTCATGCAGTTTGTTCTTATTTTCTCATGGATTTGATTCTATGGTTTTGAGACGTATAAAATATGACATGTTCAACCTGTGCTGGCTTACTCACTAACTCTAACCTTTCACCCTAAGTAACCTTGAGGAAAGCGTTAATTCTTATATAATAATTCTGGAAGATGGACTGCAACTTCATGCGTGATAGCATTTCTCTTCCCAAAATAATTGTACTCTGCTTGATTGGTTAAAAATGCATTTTGCAGGCTGAGGATGGCGTTGGTCTACCTGAACAAATTCTTGATCAAATAAGCTACGAAAGCGCAGCAAAGTTCTACTTCATATTTATTCGATTAGAGTTTATTTGGTCCCTTAACTTCTTTGCTTTGATAGTTCTAAATTTTTTGGAGGTGGGTATAGTTTGTGTTATCGTCTTTTCTTTTCATCTATCTTTATCATTTATATTTTGTATATGCTGTTACAGGGCCTTTTGACAATAAGTGGCAAATGGTGATGGACTTTCTGTTTATATCCACTATTTATTGCCAGTCAATCTATGGATAAATTTTTACTGTAATGGTGAGTCATTTATAGTTCGTTTAATGATTTTAATCTGTGCAGAAACCGTTGTGGTGTTCTGAGTCTTCAGAATATTCTTGCAAGGATAGGGAGTATTACTTTCTTGGACAGTTACCATACTTGACTGGTGCTGAGTCTGTCATTTATGAGGTAAAAATTTATGTTCTCTTTTTCCGGATAAATGAATACATTGTTTATTAGGAATGGAGGAGTTCTCAACCCTAGACACGAGATATGTAAATTATGCCATTGTAGTCATAGAATGATTATACAGCTTTATGACTGTTTAGGAACCTACCCATTCACGATACCACCGAGTTGGCTTGGTGCCTTCAAGCACTTTTCAAGTTTGAACTTTGAACCGAACAAAGGAATTTCTTAAATGACTTCTTTAGTTGCTCTCATTTTAATGTACAATTATAGCTCAAATCTTAAGCAATACATAACATTTGATGTTATTATTATCTAGGTTCTGGCATAACATGGATTTTGTTATAGTTTTAACATGACTGGTATGTATCATATTGAAGATGTTATATATATAACGTAAACCACCTCATATAGTGGAGGATTTGGCGTAGATCCCTACTTGTTTACTGACACAGAGAGGAAAACAAAAAGTTGCCTCTTCAAATGAAGATGTCAGCAAGCTTAGTTGGTAAGCCTTTTGGTGATAAAACTAAATGCTTGAGTTCAAGTTTTTGAAGGAGCGGAATGAGGGAGTCAAAGAAAATGGAAAAAAGAGGTACATTATCTCGTCTCTGTAACAAATGAAAGGGTTATGAATCCTGTCAAGCTGAGTACCTTGTACCATAGCTGTTAAAATCCCGATTCTGGATCTTAGAATCTTACGATCCCAAATTGCCAAACCAATCCCGATCCTATCTAAAATCTCTGGGAAGTAGAATCTGAGTAGGATCTGTAGAATCAGAAGTAGGATCGTAAAATCTCATAAGATCTTATGATCCTACCGATTCTACTAAATCATGTTATTTATTTCTTCTTCCGGATTTAATTGGGCTTATAATTAATTTTGGACTAATAAATTTAATCATTTTAAATACAAAGTCCAACTCTTTAGCCTAATTACATTAAAATTATAAAACAAAAATCAAAGAAACGATGTCAAATGTAGAGATGTTCAACTCTGAATTTCAAAGGTATGGTTCAAAATTTCAAAACTTTCCTATAATTTGTTTTATTCTTCTTAATTTCTTTTTTCTTCTTTCTTTTTCAGTAAAGAATTTTATTTTTCCACCTATTCCTTGTCAATAGTGAAACAAAAATAAAGAAAGACTCCATTTTTTTCCGTTGTTCTTTTTATCTCTGTTTTGTTCCTTTTTTTTTTTTAACCCAAAAGTTAATTTTCAACTAAATTGCTCACAATTAGGCAACTAAATTGTACTTTTCTCTCTCAACTATTTTTTTTTTTTCCTCTGAGACTTTTCTTGATTGTTATGCTGATTTTTTTTGTTGAGATCAAGAATCTGATTTTAAGGGCTTGTCATGTGTCTTAATATCTTTTAATTTTAATTAATTTTGCTAGAGTCTGATTTGGTTATTTAGCCTTATTCTCTACTTATATAAAAAATAATTTAAAAAGTTAGTTTGATTTACTTTTCTAATAGTTTTATAGAATCTTACGATTATTGATTCCGATCCTACGGACCGCTCATTTATCCTACGTAGAATCCCGATTCTAACAACCTTGCCTTGTACCTCTGGCGGAAGATCCTCTCTTGTAAAAATGCAGAAGTGCTCACTGTTTGGGTGTGCATGCACCCATTAGTATCTTTTAATGTTAATTAATTTTGCTAGAGTCTGATTTGGTTATTTAGCATCATTCTCTACTTATATCGAAAATAATTTAAAAAGTTAGTTTGAGTTACTTTTCTAATAGTTTTATAGAATCTTACGATTCTCGATTTCGATCCTACGGACCGCTTATTGATCCTACATAGAATCCCGATTCTAACAACCTTGCCTTAAACCTCTGGCGGAAGATCACTCTCTAGTAATAATGCAGAAGTGCTTATTTGGTTGAAACAACTGAATAGTAAGCATAAAAGGGAAAATAATACCGATGGAAATAATGGAGCAATTTGATTCCTGTTTCACAAGAAGCTAAAAGCTAAGGATACAGCATAAATAAATATGAAGCCTCTAGATACTTGATAAACCCAACTCTAATTCCTCCTCACTGGTGGTGGGTAAAAGTTTCCCCTACAAGTTAACGATGCAAATTTTCTTCATTTGGCCATAAGAAAAACTGAGATATATCTTAGTCGATCTGGATCCCATGTGATATCCACTTCTAAAGAACTGTTTGGGGCCTTCTGGAACTGTTACGACCTCTGAGCATACTATGTTGCCTATATTCCTTCCTTTTTTGCAAAATATAGTCGGGATTTAAATTTCAATGTTAATTGCGACGTGATCCTTTAGAATGGGTACTTTTGACAGAAATATCTGGTTTCCATGGTAATCTTTAAGATGTAATAAGTAAATATTGATGGGCATGTGAATTCATTAACTGATCAAACAACAATTAGAATTTTCAAGGAATTGGAGGGAAGGGATTGGATGATCACTAACAGCTTGATAAATATGTCCATAAATTTTTGGGGAGAGCGAGAGAGTCAATTGAAATGCTAATCTTGAAACGGATTTTGCAAAAGATGGCATGCTGGAGGCATCGACTCTAAATGAGTTTTCTTTTGTAAGGTTTGTGTATTATGAAATGGCATCTTCCGTGAATGAAAACTCTTGCTTGAATCAGTAGATTTGTGCTACATAATTTGTAATTTTGCTGGCAGTCGACACTGAACTCAGTGATATTGAATCAACATAGTTCTTCAAGTGGAAACAATAATTGAAGTTAGGAAAGCTAATTGTCCTAGAAGATTGTAGGTTCTTAATGAATAATATATAAGTTTTAACTTTTTACCAAAGCTTTGGCTTGAGAAGTACGTCCTCCACCTCGTCATAGTAGAGGTTGAGGGTTCAAGCCCCGGCAGGGGAACACATGTTTGTGAGTTCTTACGCTTTCATGTCTACAACTCAATTCATCCAATTACTACAGGGATGAACCCAATCCGATGCCGAAGGCAGGGCTAGTGATTGGAGTGAAGTCGTAACAAGGTAGCCACACATGTTTGTGTACATTTACCTACCCCGAAGAAATAAGTTAATATGTTCCATTCGGACTTTAATACATTATAATAAGTTTTGAGTAGGTTTAAACTAATTGAGAGTTAATATGTCTAATTTACGTAGCTGTCTTTATGGAGTCATAAAATACTATTTACTTGAAAAGTGGTGATGTGATTTATATTATCATAAAGTAGACCCGATAATCTTTTCAATTTTATAAAATTTTCAAGTTCATTTTGTTGGCTTAGATAACCAAAACATAGTGTAAAGTAGAAGAAGATGAAGAAGAAGAGAAGAAAGAGGAGAGAAAAAGAGAAAGAGAGATGGGGAAAGAAAGAAAGAATGAAAGAATAGTTCCATCCGACCAACACATTTTATTTATAATAAGAAGTTTCAGAAATTACACATAAGCAACCTACATTATATAAGTAATAACAAATAAGCCTTTGACAATACTCCCCCTCAAGCTGGTGTAAAGATATCTATTATGCCTAGCTTGAGTAACATATTTTGTAAACAAGTCTTGCTCACACCCTTAGTCAAAACATGATCAACTTGATCAAGTGTGTTGATGTATGGAGTACAAATCAACCCAAGACGAAGCTTTTCCTTGATGGAGTGTCGTGTGTACGAAGAGTAGTCATGTGATTGGCTCCTAAATCAGTGATCCAGGTGGCCGACCAGATAATGCGGACACATGATGTGCCTAATGAGAGGTACCTATTTGAGCAAAGTTAGAGGTGGAAGTGGAGGCATTTTGAGCTAGCACATGTCGAAGAGCATCAACTTCTACCCCAGACAAAGAGCTCGGTGCCCTGAGTAGGAATCACCAGTACAAGCAGTCTCATGCACTGTAGCATGTGCCGTAGTCTCGTAGTTGACCCCCTAAATGGATCGACCTAGCATTCGCATGAACAAGAGCAGAAGTTGGAGGAGGGCGACTGTGTAGATTCCAACATGCTTCCCTAGTGTGGTGCGTATACCCACAGTGGTCACACCTTAACTTGCTCTTATCATCCTTTTTCACTCCTCTTTTGGAGTGTTGCGTTTGTTCCATTGTTGTATGGCAAGAGCAGACCTTTCAAACAATGGTACTTTTGGCTCAGCCTTAGTGTATACAGGCGCAAACATAGCCTTATGCTACTCTCCTTAGGATGGATATATGAAAATACCTCTCTAATAGAAGTAGGGGCTGGATACCTACTCAACATTTGTACTTGGCATGCTCGTATTTTGGATGCAGACCACCCAAGAACTCATAGATTCGATTCCTTTCTACCATAGCCTGAAATGCTTTAACATTAGCTGCACACACAGGTATGTAGTCTTGGTAGTGATCTAACTTTTCCTATTTACCATGTAGACTGTGGTAATATGTAGTAAGGGTTTGGTCTTCCTGCTTGAATCTTGAAATCTCTTGTTGAAGCTCGTACAGTTTTGCAAAATTACAAACCGAGGAATACGTCTATTTCACAACATCCCATAGCTCTTTAGTTGTTTTCACAAACAGAAACCTCTTGCTGATTAGTGGTTGCGTTGACTGCAACAACCAAGTCATAACTAGTGCATTATTTACACTCCACTCTTTGAATTCATGATCACTCTTAGAGGGATACGTGACAATCCCTTCTGCATGGTCGATCATCCCACGACCAGTGATATGCATACTAGAAGATTGAGTCCACTCCATATAGTTTGTCTCATCCAGCCTAACAGTCGTAATACAAATACTTGGATGGTGATCACTACGACCTCCTAACACTGGAGTCACACTAGAAGAAGATCCAGCTTCTTTTGAAGTTACCTTTGAGCAAGACATTTTATAACAATTTTTTGGTATACACTCTTCAGAAACAGTTCAATAACAAAATGTGTAGAGAACTACCTCTCTAACACACAAAAAACTGCAACTAGAGGATTACCATCTTCTGAGATGCATAAAAAATTACCACACAGTCACCACACAAACCCTAGAAAGCAACAAAATAGACCATACCAGAATTGCGAACAACGAAGGAAAAGCTGCCGTTGCACAATTACGCTAACACAAAAAAAACCACCAATCGAGACTGCAATCGATGAAAAACAGGTAAAAAAAAAACATGCCCTAGGGTTTTAACTACACACTTCCTTGCAAACAAATCCCATCTTGGAATCTCTTTAAAACGCTTCACACTCACTAGGGTTTACACAAACTTGCCCTAGGCTTTCAACTACACACTCTAGAGCTTTACAAACCATGCTTTGATACCATGTTGACTTTAAGAGAGAATCAGAACAAGAGTAAAGTAGAAGAAGACGAAGAAAAAGAGAGGAAAGAGGAGGGGGAGAGAGAGAGAGAGCGAGAGACGGGAAAGAGTGAAAGAATGGAAGAATACTTCCATCCTTCCGCCACATTACTAAGAAGTTTCAGAAATTACACATAAGAACCCTACATTATATAAGTAATAACAAATAAGCCTCTGACAACACATTTGGCCCCAATTAAGCACTGAAGGTGTGACTGGGCAGGCCATGAAGTTATGTACCATTGCATAGGTTTATGCGCCAATAGTTAATACTCCAGAATGTCTTGCGTTGATTTCTAATGTGGTCTGGAGCTTATAACACGAGTTCTCAAGTCCAATTTGGTTTCTAAATTCTCTGAAACTCTTGTAGAATTTCTGAATGAATTTTAACCATTCTAAGACTACAAAATAGATACTTAGTTGTTGATTCAGATATTATATCAGGTATTAACTCAACTCAACAAAGCCTTGATCCCAACTTTTTGGGGGTCTGGCAGATGAATTTCTTCTCCAATCAGCTTTGTGGAAAGCCACTTGTCTGTTTAATCCAAGCCAATCACTTTCTTTATACAGCCTCAACCTTTTGCTTTTGTCTAGTTCTCACACCATAACAGTTCGTTAATTAGTTGGTTCCACTTGTGCAAATCAATTTAGATGACTCCCTCATCTACTTTTACTTGGTGTCACTTTTAGCTTTTGATAATACTCCTACCTGTTTGGTTCTTTATATTTTCTATATGGTCACACACACAATTCCGTCATTTGGTGGCTGAAAAGACTCAAAATTTAGTCATCTCAACAGGGAGTGGCTTTTTTGCCTTTAATGTGAGAATCTAATCATCTCTCTGATATACAACTATCATAGTTTCTAATTTGCATAATTAGTATGAAATTCGCATTATCAATATGCAATAAAATGTTAAGCTGAGATTTATTTTCAATATCTTTAATGGCTAAATTATGGGGTATTTTGGTGAATTGAATGATGTGGAGGTTTGTATTAGCAAGGTAGCACAGATAGATGCATAAAAATGTCTCTCCTCTCCTCCCTTAAAGGGTAGGTGAGGGGTTTGTGCCCCATAGTTAGCATTTGTCGGTGCATTTGAGAATTTACCTAACCAAAAAAAAAAAATTCTCAACTTAGTTAAGAATATTTTCATATATTTTCTACATGAGTTTTTACTTTCTTTTGCAGGGGATAACTCTTATAATTCTTATGGCACATACCTTCTTACCAATTTTATATGAAGGATCTCGTATCTACTGGAGAAATGCACTTAATAGATTGAAGGTACTTAGTTCCAAGATCTTGCTCATGAAGTTGTTAATTAAGTTCTTTATCTGCTGTTCCTTTTTTAATTTTATTTCTTTAATTTTTAAATAGGTTGTATAATTCTCCAGACATTGAGAGGTTCTCCGCAATAAAATTTGAAGTTAAACTAACTCATATAAATACTGAAAGCTGAAAATCAATAAACTATACAAAAGTAAGTTTGGTTGACAGTTTTTGAAAACTCAGTTAAAAAAGACATGTTTGTTATAGATCTCTGACAACAGTTGTCTGTTTTCTAAGTTCTTCAGAACTGTTTTCAGAAAACTAAACCAACCAAACCTTAATTTTCCAAACATGTCTTCCTATTTTTCTGCCAAATGTTCTCTCAGTGAATATTTATAATTTCAACCACCATTCAGTATGCCTACTCAAGGCACTTTACTAAAGACCACTACAATGAAATTTTATTCCGTATATCAAGTATATTCCACAAACTTTTTTCAATTTTTTTTTTTTTAATTTTTCTTATAAGAAAGTTGATGAGTAATAACATGACTATGCTTGAGAAAACTGAAAAACACAATCTTGTGTAACTTTTGTTTTTTCGACCAACTTGTCCCTATATTGTGGTTGTTTGTTCCCATTTTATAACAAACTTGATATACGTTAAAAAAAAAAAACTTGTATAAGTATGTAAAAATTATTTGTTCTCGTGTCTTGACTTTTGGAGTCCATCTAATAGTATTGGGAGAGACTTGATCTAATGAAATGAGTAAGTTCTGCATCCTTGAAAAATTGGTCTACATATAAAGCACTGGATTGAACACAAAGGAAAGGATTCCACATCTCAGGATTGAGATCTTCGGTACTCTTCTGGTCTTCACCTTTTCCATCAAAGCTGCTAGATAACGTTTTTCATCACATGGGAAATGGTTTGAGACAAATTTTCTAGAAAGCAAAGAAAAATGACTGTCAAATATAAATAATTTGTCATTTGCCTTTTGTAAGGCGACAAAATGACTAACAGGACACCTAGGGTGGCAAGTTCTATGTTGGGTGCTGTTAAGGTAACCAAGTTTTGTAGGTAAGCTACTGTGTGATCCAATGGGGTGCATCCACTTGTTGGTTGGGAAACCGAATGATGGTTGTACGTGTGGTAGGTATGATTATACAGGGGGCTACAGAGAACATATGTCATAGGCGATTCATGTGCGTGTTTCTTCATCCCAATGGAGCACCATTTTCTATGGGCGCTTTTGTTGTGCTGAATGGCTTCCAAGAATAACTGAGACGACTCCCTCCTCCATGCACCCTATAGAATGATCTCATCTCAAATCAACCCCCACCCCCCTTGACACCATTCACCTAATAGCATCCTCCTTGCCCTTAACAATGATTTGAGAATAAAAAAGGCCAATGAAAGCGTCAACTCATCCAACAGCCAATCCTGCAGCGACCTAAGAAAGTGGATGCCCTGCACTATTTTGTTTGTTGGCATTATGTGACAATCTGCAACCACAGGCTAGGGATCAGTTGCTATCTTTTAGAGACCTGTGAAAGTACGATTGAAGAGGCCTCACCATTTCAAATATCAAGCCAGATCTAACCCGCTGCATTCGATGATTTATGAATGCTTTCCATCGTCTTGTGATTCTTTTATGCCCTCTAATTTTATAAGAGATCTTGACATTCATAGTGTTCTAATTTCCCTTCTCACCCGCTTTCCTTTCACCACTCTCCTCCATGAACTTCCTATCTGCGCCCCATATCTCCATGAACCCAATAAATATTGGTTGACATCATCAAGTTTCTAATGCTCAATCCATTTTCCTAAAAAGAATCACAGGAACTCACCACCCCCCCGGCCCCCCCCCCCCCCCCCCCCCCCAACAAAAACCCACCCCCACCCACACCCCAAAGAGAAAGACCCTTTGTAACTTATCCAACCTCCTCATAATAGAAACCAGAAAAGGGAAAAGAGGCATCTGGAAGGAGTACTTTTTTTGAGGTTAAGCTCATCATCCTTGCAATAAAATTGCCTCGTACATCCCAACCAATCTCCTTTCAAACTGCTCAACCACAGAATCCTGTGCAGCTGCAACTTTGAAAGGAGAACCTAAAGGGAGGCCAGGATAACTAACCGAGAGGTCCACTTCCTTGCACCCAAAATGATTCCTATATTGTGTACCCTTTCACCTCACCTACCGGAATCAATTCATTCTTGCCCAAGTTAACCTTCAAGCTAGATAATGGTTGAAAGCAGAAGATGTACCTGAAGTTAACTTCAAGCTAGATATCTTGAAATGCCTTGACAAAATAATTTAGTTTTCTTTCCTATTTGAAACACACAATCAGGGAAATACTGGAATGGTTAAATTAAGGATGTTGTACATTGTTTTTGCATTGTACAAATTTTGTATTGTGTTTTGTTCAATATGATCAATACCTCAAACATTCGTATGCATGTGATTATTAATCGAACTTGCATTTGTTGCCTGCAATTTTTTGTTGGATAGGTATCCTTCTGTTGCCTACATTTTTATCAATTAAAAGGCTGTATGGTCTCTCTCTCTCTCTATATATATTTTTCAGAGTCATAGTTACTTACTAAAAATTCTTCTTGACTTGGCTTACCTTGCCCTTTCTTTGTTGGCAATACTAATTAATTGGTTAAATGCTGAGTGTCTTCTGATTATATATATCCTCCTTTTTAATATTTTCTTCAACCTAATAATCACTTTTCATTTTTTTTCAGGTCCTTCTCCTGTTAATTTTGGTCGCTGATTTGTTAGTCTATGTTCTCTATTTATCTCCAGTGGCCTTCTATTTTCTTCCATTCAGGATCGCACCTTATATCCGGGTTGTTTTTTTCATTCTAAACTTCAGGTACAAGTTGATGAAACGCTTATTTTTTTATTCTTGTATGTCATTAGCACGTTTTCTAATTTATTCTTCTTCTCATAGTAATACAGCAATGTAGGTTGTGATGCTGCAGATGTCTGTTTTTGAGTTCATGAGCGCATTTTCTAATTTATTCTTCTACTCATAGTAATATAGCAATGTAGGTTATGATGCTGCAGAAGTCTGTTTTTGAGACGTGTGTATGTACTCATGGTAATATAGAAATGTAGGTTGTGATGCAGCAGATGTTTTTTTTTTTTTTTGTGCTGGGTGTCTGTACTCTTCGATTACTATAAATTGGAAAAGATAAGATTCAGTTCAACTACAAAATTTATCGAAAGCATTATAGGTGGATGATTTTCTGTTGTCTGAGTTACATGAGTCACATTTGATCCTGGACTGGAGCAATCTTATTAGGGCAATGTAAATTGCACATTTCAGTTTTTATACATGTATCATGTCTCGCTCTTTAACTTGATTTTTATTATTATTTACTTTTTTGGTTGAAAGACTAACTTCTCTATTAAAACCTACTTGTTTTAAAGTTTTGCTTGTGATGTTGGAAATACTTTTCCTTTGTCCTAACCTTATACTTTCAACCCAATGGCAAAGGTCGGCACCAAAAAATATTATTGAAGGTCAGTGATTAGAATTTAATGACCCAGCTGGAAGATGATTTATAAACCGTTGCATTTGCAGTGTTGCTTGATGGAAAAGTAACAAATATTGGAACTCGCACAATTGCATTAGATGTATTGCAGTAAATGTTATGTTGCAGATGTGTTCTTGTGCTGTTATTTTCCTTGGTGGAAAAATTTCAGTTTACATGGTATTATAAAGTTTGATCTTTGTTTGTTTGTTTGTTTTTTTTTTTTTTTTTCCTTTGACTGTAGGGAATTACGAGAGAGCATCCTCATCTTGGCTGGAATGCTTAGCACGTACTTTAATGTCTTGGTTTGTCTGCCATTCTTTTAATCATATATATTCGTTTTGCTGCCGTACTTTCCATTTTAATTGAACTTGTGACTTTTTGCAACATAAAATCAACTAGACAGTTCTTTTAGTGTTGTAGACTTGCATAAGTATATTTCTGTTGATTTCTATGGTAAGTGATGGCTATTAAGCTTGTATTTGTACAGTTTACATAGTGTCTATGTTTTCCACTCACTGCTGGCTGATCTTCTCCAACTGCAGGCTCTATGGCTTTTATTTCTTCTATTTTCCAGTTGGGTAGCATATGTAATGTTTGAAGATACCCAACAAGGGAAGATAGTATTCACTTCTTATGGCACTACATTGTATCAAATGTTTGTTTTATTCACCACATCCAACAACCCAGATGTTTGGATTCCTGCATATAAGTAAGTGTGGATTAGCAAAATGTTTTTAGATGGCCCTTTTTTCTCCTCCAATATTATTCAAATTTCCATTATTCTGTTACTGAAGCGAAAGATGTCATTTGAAAGATTTGTTTTCAAGGTTACATTGATTTTAAAGCCATTAAATTAACATTTTGGACCTCTGATAACTGAGATCCTGTTTCAGTGCTAATTATCCTTTTTGTTTGTTCCTGTTTTCGTGTTTATTTTCCATGACACTACATGAGGTGCTTTTTTTATTTATTTATTTTGTTTAGAATTTAAACTGATCCTCTATCTCATGAGCTTCGACTCTGAGGTTTAAATGGTGGGGTTCTTTTCTTTTTCTTTTTTTTCCTCTTTTTTTTTTTCATCTCTCTTTACCGGTCTCAAAACCTTGACGTAGGGCTTGGGGTTAGGACCCAAAGCCACTAGGACAAAGGTGGACCAGTGGTTTAAATGGTGGTTTCTGTTTCACTTACTGCCATCCTGACTTGGTTTCTATATTTATGCATCTCGAATGATGTGGCTAGAAATTATAAATGCATATCACAAACAAAAAATAGAGTAACATACAAGAATCACTTAGTGGTCTAAAATAAGAAATGGCAAGTCCGTCTTAACTATGTCACTGATAAAATCAGTATTAGCTTGAAGGTACCCATCACAGAAATTTTGTCCTCCAAGAAAGTTTTTACACTTCCTTTTTTTGTCTTATTAGTTTTGAATACTTCACATGGACTGCCATTGTTTTGTATTTCTAAATCAATATTTGCATTAACAATTTTTAGAACCTTGATTCTGATGTTCCAATTACTGTTCCATTTCTTCAGGGCTTCACGTTGGTATTCCATATTTTTCATTCTCTATGTACTATTGGGGGTTTACTTCGTTACTAACTTGATCCTTGCTGTTGTATACGATAGCTTCAAAGGTCAGGTACACTTTTTTTCCGGCTATCTGCTCTTGTATGCGAAAATTTGAAAATGGTAACACATACTACTGCTTTATTATCTGATCATATATATTTTTTAATTTCCTTCTGGATATATTGTTTCCTTAATATGCCACTGCCAACTAGGTTTGATTGCATGATCTTGTGTTCTCAGAACAATGCTTGGATGCACATTCTTATGTCTCTGTTTTGTCGTAGCTTGTGAAACAAGTAGCTGAGAAGGACTTTATGCGGAGAAGAATTTTAAATAAAGCTTTTAATCTTATTGATGAATATGTAAGTCTGATCCTCACACTTGTGGTTCTGACTTATTACTCCTTTTTGTCTACTCATCAAGCTTCTTCAGTTCATGTTGTTTAAACATTTCGTAAAGGATATTACAAAGATGAAGTGGCAATATCCTTCTTTTTATTCTTCTTTCTTGTGCCTAGTCAATTATATGCATAGTAAATATTTAACAGTCTCTTCTTATAAAATCTAAAGGAACTGGTTCATCATGTAAAGAAAATTGAGGATGGAAAACTTCAAACTATGGTTGGATCAGAAGCATACACAAAAACTGGAAGAAAAAGAATAGAAACATAAATAGTCTAAACGGGAAGCTAGAAGGGAAAATGTAAAGTTCAATTTGAGGCCTATGATGATTCATTTTAATATTTTATTAATTAATTACAAGAGAAAGTTGTATACAAAATTTTATGGTAGTGGGAAGTAAGACCACAGAATTATACAGGTGAGGATTAACTTGGTAAAGGGTGGTGGTGATTTTAAGAAAAAAGTAATTACTTCCATAAATTAGTTAATTCAACCACATCGATGACTTAGGTTTATATGAATTTAGGAATTCTAACATTGCCAAAACTTATAGTCGTCTATGAAGAATTAGGGTATCTGAAATTAAACAGAAGAAAACAAGGAAGAATTTAAATTTGATAGCATTCTAGTTGAGGTAAGGTATTGAATAAGAAAGAAGATAGCTGGATTAAGTTTAAAGATGCTTCTGAAGAAGAAGAAGAAAATATTATTTCTACTAACGTTGAAATGGATATATTGTAGGAAGAATAGGAAACAACAAACTCTTTAGAGCCAAAAAAAATATAAAAGAAAAACGAAAGGCTGATAGAAGACTTGGTTTTGAATCTTCCATTAAGTGTGAAATAATAAGAATCAGCAAGGCATTTGAATCAAGGAATATCATTTTTTTCTTTGTAAACCAAATTTAAAAGGTAAAACATCTTGATACCTTTTAATATTGGTTGCATCAACTTACCAATACCTTCAAAACACTATCATGTGCTGAACTGCATAAACCATATACGTAACATGCATCTAATGCATTATGTGCATAGACATATCAACTCATCAAGTGATATAGCACGCCCAATGCTGATCCTTTTAAATATAGATAGCGCAGATAATACATGCTTTGTTAAGTAGAGAAAAGTAATTATCTACATGCCTCAAGTCAGTTTCAGTTTTTTATACTTATACTTGCAAAATCATTATTATTTTCATTTGAAAATTCAGTTCATTTACTTATTTTTCCAATGTAACTGCAATGGTTTTGTTTAATATTTATTTTCTTGTAAGGGTTATAACTGTTTTTTGGTTGCATTTACATATGGGGCTTTTCCTTTTGAATCAACAGAACCTTGGATTTCTTAACAAAGATCAATGTATTCATCTGTTTGAAGAACTGGATAAATACAGGTATTGCTCGTATTTCACTTTTTCTTATAGGCGTTTAGGATTCTTTTGAACTAGTTGCATTGTTACTGGAATTCTGTCATAACTCTCGTAATGGAGGATGAAACAGAAGCTCAGCTCCAGTTCAGAGAGGGGTTGCAATAACTTAAAAGTCTGAAAAAGTGGTGGTATTTTATCTTTTTGTTGGATAGTTCCAGAATGTCTTACTGCATTTGATTGACTGCCAACTTTCGCTCATCAGATGTCTGTCTGGTTTGGAATACTTGAAAGTTGTGTAGTGCCCACTAGAAAAAGTATGATTTGTTTTCTCTACCAGTCTACCAATTATTACCTAACACATTTCTCTTTGGTTGCTGCTTTGTCACTGGTCCCATATTTTTTCGCTGACCCATCATGCAAAAGGTACACCTTTAGAGTAAGGCGGCGGTTGATAAAACTGAAAATTAAATAATAAATACTGAAAATTTTAAATACTGAAGTTTTAAGTGCTAATAAAGTGAGTTTTTTAATTTTCTTTTTGTTGAAATTTTAAATGGTCAGCGATAGGTGAAGTCTTCCCACAAATATATATTTTTTTCAAGGCAAAGAAATAAATTTATTTAGTAATAAGGCATCTATAACATCAGTTATAACTGCCTTTCTAACATCTTCAGTTGCTCATCAACAAGCACCCTATTACAACTAGCAAGCTTTGCTAAACAATGAACTGCTACATTTGCTTCACACTCGACATGATTCATAATAAAATGGTTTGAATTCTGCTACAGGACTTGGATGTGTTGCACCACGGTCTCAATAATATAAGGAGTTGAAACCACCCCTTGCACAGCTTGAAATAATAGAAAAGGTATCAAACTCAAATATAACTCCAGTGAATCCCCACTGACTTGCCAGCCTCTGCTGCAGCTGCATCTGATACATAAAGAAAATATCTTACTGCCCACTACCCCTCTTGAATTCCTGATAATGATACCACTACCTCCTTTATCTTCCTTAGTACAGAATGAAACATCAAGATTAGATTTTATTAACTGATCTGGAGGATGACTCCAATTGTAAACCAAAGGATGAGTGATGACCTCCGATTTACTTTCATGGTTTGCAGCAGCAGAAAATTCAATAAATTAAGCAACAGTGTGATTTGTTGAACAGACCATCTGTTATTGTTAAAGTTCAGCTCATTTCTTGGATCACCAAATATACCAACATTGAGATGAAGCTAAACTGATTAGAGGACCGTTGTTTTCCTCATTTTTGTACATCTCCAATAGAAATATCCACCATTCCTTCCAAGACATTTCCGAGTGGCTATTATATCCAATCTTAAAGGTGACAATGTCCAAACTTGAACTGCAGTTGGACATCTCATTTTCAAGTGTTCTACGGTCTCCTGTTTTAGGCCACCTGTTTTAGGCCACAACTTCTACAGGTTGCATCTTCAATTATCTTCAGCTGCTTAAAATTTTTTCAGAACAGCAACTCTATTGCATCTCCAAAGAAAATGTGGAATACATTCTTTTTTTGGGTGTTTGTTTTCCACAAATACTTTGAAAGAGAATCTTGATTCTGTGTTACATTCCCCTTCAACGAATGTCCTATTTTTGCACCCAAACCTATTAGGTGCAAGTGATAGCTATATTTCTTATCAAGCACAATTAAATAATTACTTACTTTTTTTTTGATAAGTAATAATTGAATATAAAAAGGCGTTCAAGAGGGGAACGCATCCCTTATACAAAAGTGGAACCGGGGTTTTAAGGCCCCAAAGAATCCAAAAAAATGATTAAATCATCTGAAGAGGAACATGACTTCCTCTTCACGTAACTGAAAAGAGAGCGAATGATGTAAAGTTTCAAAATCACCGTAGACAACTCTTTCCCTTCGAACATTCTACTATTCCTCTCCTTCCATAAGCACCACCAAACACAATGTGGTACAACTCTCCAATAAACGTGAACATCACTTCTCACGCGGCATCCTCTCCAAACATGAATCAAATCCTTAGGATAACGAGGCATAACCCAACGCATACCAAACAGGCCAAAGATAAGATTCCAACAGTCTCTCGCCACAGGACAATGCATGAGAATATGATCAACTGACTCACCATCTTGTTTGCATAGGCAACACCAGTTAACTAAACAGTTGCCTCTTTTCCTTAGATTATCAATCGTTAGGATCTTACCCTATACAGCGGTCCATACAAAGAATGCCACCCTAGTTGGAGCCTTTGAGCGCCAGATGGTCTTCCACGGAAAATCAACAATATCAAAATTAGAAAGACATAAGAATAAGGATCGAGCTTCAAAGCGACCATGGGAGGAGGGAATCCATGTCAGATCATCACTTCCTCTGCCAACTGCCTCTTGTCGATACAGCAAATCCAGAAAAACACATACCTCGTCCAACTCCCAATCCTGAAAAGAACATTGAAGGTGCGTGTCCCACGTAACCCCACTGCTATCAAGCTGATAACAGTCGGCTACGTAGGCATGTCTATCAACTGCAATACTGTATAAATTGGGAAATGAACTAGATAAAGGCCGGTCACCACACCAAAGATCCTCCGAAAAGCGAACACATCTGCCATCACGAACTCTAGTGGGAAGAGATTATATATACTGAAATGAGTTATCACAGCTCCTAAGTGCCTCAAAAGCAATTTTTTTTTTCTTTTTCCTTTTCCTTATTAAGATATTGTTAACCTATGTACTATTATACCTAGGACCCATTGAACACACTTTTTTGTTTAAGGGAATGAGACATTACATTGTCTGTGGCTCGGAAATGGCCTGATCAGCTACAGGTACGCGGTGGTCACTGCCCTGCACCAAAGAATGCTCTTTCTTTGTGCCTGAATAAACCGTTCCTTATAAAGGAAGGGATGGGCGCTTGAAGTTACACGACCTACTTAATTTAATATATTTTGAAGTGCATGCCAGAATAAATTTTTAAGAATTTACTGTGTAGAAGTTGTAATAGACAGGAAAAAGTCATATTGGAATGATAAAAACACTAGAACCAGAATCGTGTTTTTCTTTATAAAAGAATGTAGATAGTCCAACTCAATGTTTCCCTTATTTCACTGCCTCTGGCATCAGAAGCTGCAGTAATTCCATTATAAGTGTCTGGAGTCCTTTTAAGGTACAACCTCTGGACATAAGAAAATTACAATATTCCAGCAACAACGCATTGTCACTTATGAGTGGATTCTCTAATTAGAGGCTGCATTCATTAGTTGACTTCATATCGCTGCAATTGGGTAATCAACAATTAGAATTTTGTATTGAATTGCTTTCCATTCCCCATAAAGAAAGGCTAATTGGTTCCTTACCCTGAATTAGTGTGAAACTAAACTAAAGAGTTGGGTTTTGCTGAGGCAGTGTAAGCTAAGAATTCCTTTTCTATTTTTTTTTTTTTTTTTGGTTTATTGAAACTTTGTTTCTGAACTCTTTCTAATTCCATTTGTGAGTATTGTCACTCCTACACTATGAGATAGAAGAGATAAATCGGTAGAATGTCAGTTGGACAAATTGGTGCAGACTCAAACTAATAGTGGATTTTTCTAGATTCCTTTAAGAATTCGTGTCAAATTACTTTTTCTTTGACGATTTGGTCAATACAATGTTAACTTTACCTTCTTATATGGTGCTGTGGAGACTATACTGGGTGATTGTTTTAGCGATTTAACACAGCTTCCTAATATTTTACTTATATTATCACCAACTTCCATGCAGTTGCAAGGAACCATTTTCATTATCTTCCATACTCCAACTTCACACTGATGTGAGACTTTTACTGTTCTTTCAATCTTCAGTTTTTCCATGCCCACAATCATTTTCTTACATAAGCTTTGGGTACTCATTACCAGTTCTTTGCATAAGCTGGGGTTCCTCAGAAAGAAACCAAATCTTTTCAGTGATGCAAGCTGTTTTCAAACCTTTCATATCTGATTTTTAAACCTGTTGTTTTTCAACCATCTTCTGGTTTTTTGTTTCCCATCACTCAACCTTCTCTGAAATAATTGGAAGTAAAGTTGTCATTCTTGGAATATGAGTGAACATCTTTGACTTGATTCTTGTATTATACATGAATTAAATCCAGCAGTGCTCTTATTTCTGATAAATTGGAATTATGTTAGAGCATATGGACAGTGAGCTGCTTCCTTAAATTTGGAATGGTGCTAAGAGCATCAAAAGGGCGTGAGAGGCCAAATGAGAATAAGAATTATTGTAGATTTGACTGACCCAGTTGTGGGATTCCTAGATATCTGTTTGAAACAAGGAGAGAGAATTTTGGTGGAGTACAGGGCATATTACCTTATCAACTTTTGGAAAGTTATCATCTTAAAAATCCTGCTCATCCCGTGAAGACATGTCTTCTAGGAATTGTAACCATAAGAAGAAGCCTCCTTGCTGTCTCAGACTCTGAGCTAAGCCATTGTTAAAAATCACATATCAACAGATGTTCTAAATTTTGGAACTAAACTTTGAAGCCTTTTCCTGAGAGCATTACCAAACAGAATGATGGAACAGGTGCCTATACCCCCATCTTTTCCATGGCAGCAGATAGTATGCTAGCTAGTTTCACTGAGATTCCTAACTTCTGCCATGAGTCTTTTTGGGACCAGAACCGTAAGCAGAAGCCTCATTGCTGTCTCAGTCTCTGAGCTTCTTAAGAAGCCATGGTTTGGAAACATAATGTATCTTCAGAGGTTCGGTTCAGAAAGTTAGAACTGAAACTTGAAATTTTTTCCTGATATTTTTACTGATCATAATAAGGGAACGGATGCCTTTCCCTCATTCTCCAGAAGAAAATTTTAGCATCTTCTCCAACCTTTCAGATACTTAGATAGAGATTTTAAGACGTTCATAATTTACATCATTCATCACAATTTAAAAGAATTTTGACTCATGAAAAAAGAAAAATTACCGCGAGTATTTTCTAACTAAAATTACTGCTGCTCTGCTCCATCGCTACCTGCTCCATATAGAAGTTTAGTG